TCGTACGAAAATCGTACGACTATTCGATCATCGGACGAAACGTTTCGTCCGATAATCGTAAGGTGTATGGGCACCTTTAGAATGAAAACAAACATAGAACACCTTTTGTTTTGATGCACCTGGAATGTATTTATCTGATTTAAACTGAAGGTTCACTGGGCCTTTAATTTTCCATGTGATTTGTATGTTTCTTTAAACATCTGTAAACCTGCCATAGAGTATTATTTTATGAAAAATGGCCTGTGTGCTAACATTTACAGAATGCTATGTAAAAAAAGCCTCCAGAACAGAAGTTGACATTTAATTTAACCAGTTGCCGTCCGCCCGTAGTAGAAAAACGGACGGACGGCACTGTCGCATTCGCGTGTTGACCGACGTAATAATAAATGTTTTATCATTTAATATAGGGGAAACTGTTTTTTTTTTTTATTTCGGTGATTTTTCCTTAATATAGTAAAAAAATAAAAACCCCCAGTGGTGAATAAATACCACCAAATGAAAGCTCTATCTGTCCTCAAAAAAGGGTATAAAATTCATTTCAGTACAGCGCTGCATGACGGAATAAATGTCAGTCAAAGTACCGCAGCGCTGAATACTGAAAAATGGCCTGGATGGGAAGGGGGTTTAACACCGCGGATGTCAACTGGTTAAAGCTGAACTCCAGGGAGAAACATAACACACACGGTGTAATGCATGGTGTACTCATGGAAACATCATCAAACACATTTTATTTCAATACAGCTGGTGTATGTACCTGACTATGTCTTCATATCAGCTTACTGTAGCCCCCTGCAGATCAACGCTTAGACCTGAAAAGAAAAAGAGAGCAGCGTCAGGCAGTGAAGCTCTGCTGCATTGCCAAGTTCAGAATTTAATTGTCCATCCATTGGCTGGAGGTGGGACGTGATAACATGGCTTGTCATTGTTAAAGTAGTTTCCCCCCTCTACACGTCTAAAAATCTTCCCTTCTGATTTGTTCTTTGTTTCCATATTTGCCCTTGAACATCAATGAAGAATCTTAATTTAATATTTAAGTTATCGCTGACCTTCAGTGGTCAATGGAAGCGCCCCTGTCGACGATCCAGGGCGACGCGGCCCTCGCCTTTCTTCTGTGTTTTATGCCTGAAAGATCCTTCATCTCTTTTTATTTAGTCTATTTATTTTTTTTTATACTCGCCACAAAAGAATGAATCTTTTGAAGAAGAGCGTTGCTGAAAACTTGCGAGGTGATTCATATGTAAAAGCGTCTGCGTAGATTCTGATTCCGAAACACATATTTCACAGACAAATAGGCCCGCCGCAAATATTCCCCCAGTTGATTTTCATTCAGCTAAAAAACAAGATCAAATGAGAATCAACTTTGCAGAGCATGAAAGGCGGCTGTGATGTACTGTTACAAATGCTCCTTTTTCCTCTCCGTAATGCCGGAATCAGTGTGCACTCACCAGAACATAATCAGCCTGTAATTCTATCAAATGACTCCATCGGCAGCAAAAAGCTTTTCTGTGTATCCATATCATAATACACAGGTGAACCTCCAATGCAGGCTGTGCCTCACATAGATTGGACTGTCTATACAATATATAGCCAAACCGGGGCTGTTATAAGACACTGGTGGGCCCAAAGCAAATGTTTCATGGGCTCCTTCGCCTCTAAATATATATATTAGTAGAGGGATGGACAGGAAAGTAGAGGGATGGACAGGAAATCTCCACTCGCTCTTTCTCCCCCCATCTCTTCTCTGTCCTTCCTTCCTTCTCCTCTTTCTTTCTTTCTTTCTTTCTTTCTTTCTTTCTTTCTTTCTTTCTTTCTTTCTTTCTTATGTTCTTCTCTGCCCTCCCTTCCTTTATCTCCATCTCATCCTTCCTCTCTCCTTCTCTTCCTTCCTCTCTTCCTTCTCTTCTCTCTCCCCTCCCTTCCTTCCTCTCTCCTTGTTTTCCCTCCCTCCTTCCTATCTCATCTTTCCTTCACTTCCTCTCTCCTCTGCCTTCCTTCTTCTCTCCTATGTTCTTTTTGTCCTTCTCTCCCTCTCTTCCTTCCCCTCTCCTTCTCTTCCTTCCTTTCTCTTTCTCTCTCTTTCTTCCTTCCTCTCTCCTCTCCCTTCTGTCCTCTTTCCTCTGTCCTTCCCTCCTCTCTCCTTCTCTTTCTCTCTCTTTCTCTTCCTCTCTCTTTTCCCTTCCTTCCTCTCTCATCTGCCCTGTCCTTCCTCTCTCATCTGCCCTGTCCTTCCTCTTTCCCTCCCTTCCTTTCCCCTTCTTTCTCTCTCCTCTGTCCTTCTCTTCCTTCCTCTATAATTCTCTTCCTCTCTCCTTCTTTTCCACTCTCCTTTCTTCCTCTCTCCCTTCCTTCCTCTCTCCTTCTCTTCTTTCCTTCCTTTCTTCTCTTTTCCTTCCTCTCTTCTCTGTCTTTTTCTTCTCTCCTTCCTCTCCTCTTTCTTCCTTCCTTTCTCCTATTCCTTCCTCCCTTCTTTTCTCCTCTTCCTTCCTTCCTCCTCTCCTTCTCTTCTTTCCCTCCTCTCTTTCTCTTCCATCCTTCCTGAAGCAGGAAAAAAATAGACACCTTACTATGTTGATTCTAGAGCTGTGTCTTTAAATTCTATCATATAGAGAAGGAGAAGTGTGCAGTCACTGTGCATCAGGTACGAGATTTACATTTCAGCTCCTCTCCACTTATATTATACTTTGCGGCTCTCGGGGAGTATATTTAAATGAAAGTTTTTGATCCCGGAGTTCAGCTTTAATGTGTTCAATTATTATAAACACTAATCTGATTTTATTTTTTTTAACTGAGTATGTAATGCAGATGTGATATATATCTATATCTATCTATATCTAGATATAGATAGATATATATAGATATACAGGTGAAACTCGAATAATTAGAATATCGTGCAAATTTCATTTATTTCACTAATGCAACTTAAAAGGTGAAACTAATATATGAGATAGACTCATTACATGCAAAGCAAGAT